GATATAGCAAGGGCGGAGCCATTCATTGATCCTCCAGCTATATCACATATGCTCTCATATCTATCCTTAGACAATGCTTAAATAGGCTTTTATAGGCACAAGTAAACAGTCTTCCCCCATTCTTCAAAGTTCCAGCCAGGGAATCCTACATAAAGCAGTTCATGGGCTGTTCCAAGCTAATTCTCATATAATTGCACTTCTCATAGACATTTCTTCTTGGGCTTCTCAGAAGACTGCCAGGTTTGGAAGCTCCTGTTTCTAAGGACACCTTCAACACCTCTTTTCTTTATAAGCAGATCCAGCCAAAAAAAAAAAAAAAAAAAAAGTCTTTCCTAACATCTCAAACACTAGCAGGCTAACCTATCAGTTTTTACTTGACCAAAGTCTCTTTTCAACTTCAGGACTAACTACCTGCTATCCTCCTCACTTACTTAGTACAAACATCTTCAAGTAACAACAACAACAACAGTAAGTGATCTGGCTCTTAAATGAGAACAGCGCTCTACTACAGCTGTGCTAGATAACCCTCATCAGGAGCCACACTCTACATTCTTATCAGGGTACAACCAATAAGTTTAGGTTTTTCTTTACCCCTTTCTGTTTTGCCACAGGTTGCTCCTTTTAGCTGGTTGATGTCCAGGAGCAGCATGTATGTCTTCTGAAATGCTCACTACACAAGCAGAACAATCTCTTTTTCCAGAACCTCTTCCAGGTCTTAGGTTTTACTAATACTTAGTGCTCTTCATTTGCTCAACTTTTTCCTCAAGTTTCTTTAAAATCAGCAATTTTTCCATGTTCTTCAACAACAAATGAGAGTGCTCACAAAACTACCTCCTCTGAGGTATTTCTGTAACCCAGCTGGTTTTGCCAGAGTCTGCAGTTCATTTTTCCTACCAGCTTTGCCCTTTTCAGATGCATTTTTCTTCTGCTACCCACCATATTCCACCCACATCTGCAAGTGTTTTGCTTTCCTAATTACTTTTTCTATCATCTGCTGTATTTTTGCTTTTCAGTATCTGAATACCACCCTCATTCAGGTCCCTGTCTTCCTTACAGATAAAGAAAAGCATACCCAGCAGACTATAGCATGTTAGTGACAAGCAAGATTTGGAAACTAGAGGGTATTTCTTTAGCATTTGGCTCCAGTAGCCTCTGTCAATGTCTGTATCGGCAAATAAGGAGGACACAGAGGAGCAAATTTTGCACAATTCAACTGTTGGTGCTGAGGACCCTGCAGCTGCTCTATGCGTTTCTAACTAGCCCTAGCTTGGTCCTGTGAACCAAGGGCCCATTAGCACTTGGAGTTTATTAGACAAGTGCCTGGAACGTGTCTTCCAGTTTAATGTCATCCAAAAGGAACCCTGTTCATTTGATCAGCCATTGTTCCACAATACAGAACAGGATATAGTATGTTGGGAGATTTACCCTCAAAAGCGCCCTCCTAATCCAATCTAACGTACTCCCATCCTCTCCCTCTCAAACCCATAAGACCCCACTGATATTCAGACTTTTAGTACCTTATTTTCCTGTGCCTAGCTCTGACCATACCATGGGCCATTCCATGTAGCAGTGGAGGAACACACCCACAGATACAGAGAGAACTAGTCACATAAGACTGATTACTCTTTCTCTTTGGTACTTGCAGATTACCCAGGAAAGCAGCATCTGTGCCGTACATGTCCTATCCCTAACTCTAGCGCCTTCCTAACTCTGGGGGGACACAGTGCATCAGTTTAGGCAACTTACACTGATCTTGAGGTCCTGGAATTCCCTGGAATGTGCCAAGTCCCACGGATATTGAGACTTTGGAGGCTTTAGGTTCTCAAACCTCTCCCTGCTCCCTATTCCTCACCCTACTAATAACCCTACCACAAACCCTGTTAAAGCTTAGTATCCACTGACACATATTAACAACGAGTAATACTTTAGGGTATAGTGATACTCTCAGTTCTGTCTCTCCACCTCACAAACTCTTCCAAGTAATAAAACTGCAATAGCCTCTACTATTCCCTGAAAAATCACTCGGTTGCAGCTCTTGAGCATACTATTTATTAGCAGAGGATCCTCTTAGTCTCATACAGAAGCAGTGATGACTCAGTCTAGCTGAGTCATTGCTACAAACTGTAAACCAGTTTTTCCCCTCTCTTATTTTCTCTACCCCCATACTCACCAGGCATAACAGACTGGAGTAACTAAGGATGGCTATTAAAGATTAAGAAGGGGTTGTCTAGCTTCTCTGTTTGTAAAAGTCTTGATCATATCAAATAAAGCAAGAAAGCTACAGATAAAGAACAGCTGTTATGTTGTGGTATGCTGCCAAGCAAATGCTTAGTGGACAACATGTAATAGCGTTGTAATAGTAAGAACTAGTATTTAACGTGTACTTGAAAGCTATTTTCTGTCAGAATAGAAAATAACAAAGATACTAGTAGTCAGTCTGGAGAACCCAGACTAGACACAGCTGTGGCCTTCAAGATACATGCTGAAGTCTGAACAAAAGGTTTTGGTGTGCAAGGAGATTCAAAACTTCAACTTTATAAAGAATATGTTAATAGTATGGTATAAAAATAAAAGTCTGCAGCAGGTATGTCTACAGACTATTTGCATATACTTAATGTAAACTAGGTCAAAAGTAATAGAAGTCACCAGAGTTAATGATTCAAAGTAGTCTGCCCAATGCTGGAACCTATTCTGCAATCAACTTTTTTAGTGTATGAGCTGAAGACATTGTGGCTACGTCTACATATGCTGCAAGCCTATTTCTGCTTCCAGCTTGAAGAATAAATCTGTATACACTTTTGGGTTTGTACTATGTGTGATTAATTTCTACAGAACAACATATGTAGACAAGAAGTAAAGGTATTCTGTAACTGTGAAGTTAAGATTGGAGTGTTACTGGCCATAAAGTTAACTGTATTATGCAATCACTCTTTGCTGATGAGCAAGCATAAATAAGCTCTTGTATTAGCTCCGGTTAAAGATACTCAAGTTCTAGAAATAAAGAAATATATTGTAAAGTGGTTAGCAACTGTCTTCTCACAAAGCCTGTCTGCACAGATTATAAGCATGCTGGAAGCTTGCAATAAAAACAGACTATTTCTTCATCTTGGTCTCAGAACAGTAGTAAAAGCGAACCCAATTTTAAAAAGCTCCTCCTATGGCATTGACTGACTCATATACAGATATTGATTTTCCTGAGATTGAAGAGTATAGTACTTATATGACTTCACATGGTGCTGCTGAAAACGTGACAAATACTACCTTTTGCTGCTCACCACAGCAAACTAAGGACACAAGTAAAGCTTAAAATTACAGTTTTTGGATAAGGTGGATTCTGTCTCACAGACACTCTGCTGTGCTTGTGACTCTTCAAACAGTATTTTCTTACAAGCTTTGGCAACAATAAATTCTCTCTTCCCTTACATGGAGAGATCAAATACTGTAAGGGTTGGTTAGTCAAGAAAATGCCCAAACACCCAAAAATCAATATCATCCTACCAATAGCAAAGTTAGGTTTCCCAAGCTCGTAAATCTATCTCTACCCTGTCTTTGAGGACCTGCATCAATCAGCATGATATAAGGATCTGGTCTAAAATATATGTAGAGTGCACACTCCGAAGTAATACATGATGCAGTAAGAATTGCTGAGGTGTCTGACAACGCTTATACTTCAGGTTCATCCATTCCTGTATATGGCCATAAATTCACATTTTCAGTGTGCATCCAGAGAAGTATAAGGCAATGAATTAGGCTACTGTTAGTTACAGTAATATGATGCTCCTGGAGTTTCAGAGGGTTTAAAAAAAAAAAAAAAAAGTGAACCAGAAGGCCTATGTAGGGAGCGCAGGGGAGGTTTTCCTAATAGATTAGTTTTCAAGGAGCCTATGTAAACCCTGGGCAAAGTTCCTTTAGTGAAATGCCTGTGTTCTTTCAATCCCAAAATACAGGGAAGAAATGGCCCTTTTTGCAAGTAAATTTTCCCAAGAAACATGGGAGCGGAGCAAAGTTATTTTTGTGCTGCTCTTATTTTCAGAATCAAAATCCCATTTACTTGCATTTCAGAAAAATATCCAAAGCTGGATATCTAAGTTACCCACTAAAAGTTATAGGAACACTGTAGCAAAACTGAGAACTGAACAAAACTGTCTGTAAGATGGATTGCTAGATGCTCGTTCATCCTTCTTTTCAGGCACATTGGAGATTAAAATTTGTTATTAAAACCATATTTACACATGAAAGACTCTTTGTTTGGTTCAGGTCTATGTGATTTTTTTTTACCTATTCATCAAAAATTAAATCTAACCAAAGATTTTCTCTACCTCAGAGAGCTTACACTTTATTTTGCTATTATTAAAATATTTTAGACAACAACATGCTACATTTTGCTAAGTTTTCCAGATGCTTTCACAATATTCTAACTATTCTGATTTTCTTAAAACTGTGAAGGCAAAAAAAAAACAAGGATAGATTTACAGGCAACTCAGTTGTTTTACAGTGGCTGTGAACTGATCTTTAGATACCGAGACAAGTGGACACTAGCAACTACTTCTACTTAAATATTGCTTTAATTTTCACTTAACAGCCGTACTCACTAAACTCAACATTTTGCACTGCATGACAAGCTGCTATTTTGGAAAGTAAAATACTCTAATTTGGTACTCTGTGTTAGAGACTCATCATTAGCCAAAGTATCAGCAAGATTCCTCTGTGTTGTAAAATACATATCATCATTTAGCTCCATTTTTCCTGATGTTTTCATACGTTTCATTGTACACAGGAGGATCTACAGATGAAAACATTCTTTTTATTAAGCAAATTTAAATAGTCTCCATTTTAACCACTTGTAATATTTTTTTCACAAATTCCCAATTGATGTCTTATAGCACTGAAGCAATAACTCCAGTTCATAAAGAGATAAATAGCCTCACATTCTTTCTAGTGATAAAATGAATTTTATACTCCTAAAAATGAAAAGGATGATGCAAAAAGGTCTGAGAAGATGTATTTTTAATTACATATTTCAAAACTGAGTTATACAAAACAGAATTTCACTCTTTATATTCAGTACGTATATCAAAAAACTTAGGACACCAGGAAACAAATAAGCAGATTAGTCTGTGAGTAATTCAGTTCCTTTGAGGAAAGGTATGTCATCAACAACTTGACCCTTGTGTTTGAAAGCCAAGAGCGAGAAGAAAAGAGGTTAAAAAAAAAAAAGAATTTAAGGAAGAAACTGTAACACCCCTTTTGATCTTGCATGCAAGCTGAAATGAGAAAAGGTAAGTTTCAACCACTCAATCTATAGCCCTATTTAAGGATCAAAATAAGCCTTAGCAGCTTAAAGCCTTACTTCATTAAAAGTAAAGAAGCTATGCATAGTCAAGGAGTTAACTGAATGGTAAGTGGGACACTCTTACTTGAACCTTTGGTTAAGATGACAGAAATATAATTATTTATAAATTGCCATGTATTCCACATAAAACAATGAAATTCCACCATACAAAAGTCTTTTTTTCCCTGCCACAGTCAGTCTGCCATTTCTTTTCAAGTCTTCCATTACCTGCTACCTTAAGATCTTCAGGCTGAATTTTAATAACTTGCTAAATAAGTTGCTTATATGATTTGAAAATTTTGCAGCAATTTAGAAACAGCAAACATATATAGCATGTGGTGATAAGATCTTCAGAACAAAACTTGAAAATAAGACAAGTGGCTCAAGATATTTGCCAAGGAAAGCCTTCACTTTTTACTTACAAAATTAAAATTACCAACGATAAATGTTTTGTTGCAATATGACGGTCCGTTTGAATGCGTAAAGCTTTTGTTGAGGCTACAGAGTCTAATCCATTACATAGATGTTTTCTCAGCAACTCAAATTTTTCTACATTCCTCAGAAGAGACCAGAGCTAACAGACATTCAACACTTGCATAATATAGGGAGAACATCAAGCGGGTCACCTTAAATTCAGCACTAAATATATTGAAAGAGCACAATCAAATCTCCTGGAAGCATGCGAGAAACTCATAATTTTTGAAGTGTTATTCACTTGCCTGAATATACTACTTGGAATACTCTAAGTCACACGCTACTGTGATTCGCTGTGTACTTGGCTAATCGTTTAGCAGCTTCTAACAGGGGAAAAAAAAAAGAAAAGGCTACAAGGCACAGTAGACTAAGAATCAGAAAAGTACTTAATTTAAATGTTGTTGGCAATTTAGATTTCTGTCTGCTGTCCATGCTCCGACTGCTCCTAAGTTTATCTTAACATGTTATCTATTACCCTGCTCTCAAGTAAGCAGCTTGCTGGGCAATGCAATTCACACAAGAAGAGAACTAATTTTGATCTTCAATTATGCAGGAGAGATCTAAAATCAGATTGGCTGTCTCCACAGCTACTTGTAAGCCACTACACTTTGCAGCAAAACAATCCAATGTCAGAAAGTCAGTAGCTTTTACTGAAGGCTCTTTAGGGCAGCTCTGAAGAACAGGAGAGCTAAAATGGCTTTGCAAAATCCTCCAGTCGAGATTCTGAGTGTTATTGTTAATCCCACAGCCACATTTTGAAACTAAATTTGACCAGTTAGAGACGGAAGAAAAACCTGACGGAACAAACCAGCAGTGTCCATAAACCATGTCTGCAAAAACGTCTCCATCATCATGATTCAGAGAGCAAGCTACAGACTCCAGTGAGCGGCAAAAGGCATCAGCAACCAATTGGTATTGTGTCTGAGAACAATCTATAGCTTTAAAACTGCTAGTTGACAGATTACAACTCTAAAAAACAAAAGAGAAAAACCAACAGAAAATTAGAAAAGTCTTTTACAGAAGTAGATAACTTTATCAAACCCATATAATACTGTTGCATGTTTTAAACAGACACTTCACATCAGTCAACTAAAAAAATTGTTAATGTGATGGCTTTTCCCGATAGTAAAGATTTCTAGACAAGTCAGAGTTGAGTTCTGCATGACTAGCACAATACAAAAATTCTACACATTTTTATTTTGTTAAATACATGAAAAAAAATGAACACTTCCTATAATTAATGGATACCTAAAGTGACACTCAGGAATACAAATACAGCAAAACTAAAATGAGAGTTAAAACTAAAATAGAGATCATTAGCACCAAGTGCTTCAAAAATGTTGTTTTATATTAGTTTTTTAGAGAATAAAAGTGCAACATTTATTAATTTAGTACATTGAAAACAAGTATTTTAAGTGTAATGGTAATTCTACATAAACTAAGTTCTTGTGGCCTGAGTACGTTAAGCGGCTTTAAATAATCTTGCAAGGCCTTACATACCTTGTGTCTTACGTACGAAGCCAAGTGAGTTTCTGTACAGCCACCCCCTAACAGGGCAAGAGGTTCCTTGATTGTTAACTGTAACACATGCTCTGCAGTTTCATAGGCACGCTGAAAACCATATGAATTTGTCATTACACATACCATAATTAGTAGTATTTCCCATTAAACAAAACACTATTGAAACAAAATTTCCAGTAATTTCTGGGATATACTTTGTAAAGTTGAATTAAGTGTGAATGTAGGCCTGCTGAGGGATTTCCAACATGCTTATTTCATGAAAAATTGTGTTCATTTGTCCATACTTTGCATTGAAAAGCATAAGTGAAATAGCTGTATCTTACTCCTTTTCATAAAAGGAAATTTTTTATAAAATTCAAACAGTAACACCACCACTTTTAGAGTAACTATACAATGCAGAGCTATGCTTGACTACAGCTGCAGGTGTTGCTGCTGCAAACCCTCTCCTGGGCAATTTTTCCTTGTGCACTCATATATCAAGTGATGAGAATATAAGTGTTTCTCCAGGACTGGCCTCAAAAACAGGTGAAAAATGCTTCCGTCTCTAAATGACTTCCACGATTAAAATAGAGGCATGAAATGAACATGAGCGCTTCAGGGTTCTTATAATTCCAGGAAGAGGTAGCTTCTGAATTCCTCTTTAGAAGTTATGTACTTAAATTCTAAGTAAGCTCCATTAAGGCACTCAAATGTTTTTTCTAACCTCACTGTCTATATACAGTTCATTACCCTCTTTCATTTTTTTTCCCCCCAATAAAAGTATGTGTTTTTATGGAATATTTCAGGAAAACTTGCCTACCTTCAATTCATCCCATGTGGTTTCATTTCTGTTACAGAGCATCAAACAGCAGACAAGTGTGTCATTAGGAATTAGATGCACAAAATGTTTTGAAGCAAAACTCTCAGTGCACACATCCTTCAAACTGCCATAACAACTGGGAGAGAAGGAATGTACGGAAGCTATAGGCTTTGAACCTGTTTGATTAAGAAAAGCAAAGAACAGCATGTATTACCGTCAATCAAAATAGCTGTCTGTTGCATTTCACAAGGCATGAAGTTATTTTTTGCTCTCTTGGATTTTTAAATGGTATATGTTCTTCAAGGTACGCTCACGTCTTTAGCAGATGTAGAAGTCTTTAGCAGAAACCAACATAATATTTTCTAATTGTAACATTTAGTGACAGTTCATGATAAAAGTAGTAACTTCATCATTCTCATTAAATGGAGTTTAAAAATGATCTACATCTGCCAATTTCTATCATTCATTGAGCAGCAAGCAGTACTCATGTGCACTTATGTCATCATTACAGCTAGTCAGCACAAAACTGACCATCTTAGAAAAAAGGTTTTCAAACTAGAAGAGAATAGCAACTCTTACTCTACAGCTAAGGCAGGAAAAAAAAAAAAAAAAAAAGAAACCTTACTCTGCAACCACACTAACCTATTTCACTCACTGCATATTTTGTACATTTTTATTATGAGACAAACATTAAGAATATTTGTTTCTCATCTAAAATTCACTTGTTACCTGTCATTTGACTCAGGGGTTCCATCATAGATAGTCCAACTCTGTCTACAGTGACGACGTGATTTTCTTTCAGATACTGTTTCAAGGATGGATGGATAACTTTCTGGCACACTACAAGGCCAATCTCATCATTAACCAACTGCTTTCCTACATTAAGTAACTGATCCAGTTCTGACATTTCCAGAGAAATCCCATGATGGACTGTTATACTTCCTTCTTCAGGGTTGAAAAGGTCTCCTGACATAGACACACAGAAAAGTGCTACCTTGATAATGTTTGAAGAAATTCTTTTGACAGATAGTGGTTTTGCCAGTTGAGTTTCTGGTGTTTCAAGCAGTAGTCCAGGAAAAACCATAGAATCCACAACTCTTCTACCTTTCACAGGCACTATTATACACTTCCCTAAAACAGGATTAGTTTCAACATGACGTGGAACAGTAAGCAAAAAAGCCTTTACAGTCAGTGTGGTCAGATGATCAACTTCTGTTTTATTAAGCATGCAAGCAGGTTTGCTTGTTAAAACGCTACGTACCAAACAAAGAAGAGTCTCAAGATTGCCGAAATCCACGGACACTCGACAACCACAGGCCTCAGATTTGAGGTAGTCAGTACATAAGCTCAAAAGATGTTTGCTTATTTTAATAACAGTACAAGACGCAAAGTTTATCCTTTTATAGTTTTCAATCAAGCTACAGCAAAGAATGGCAGTAAATAAGCCACAGTCACTGAAGCGGGATATATGATTCTGTACAGAGGCTGTCAGAACCATTAATATAGGATGACTGACAGAGAGACAACGGAGTACAGCTGAAGACTGTGAAGTTGTACAAACATATCCTCCCATACCATTGTGGAGCTGTTTGAGCCTACCAGCAGGACCATAGCAAGATTTCAATATACCACTTAGCACAGACAGTGACTGATGAACCGTATCTTCAGCTAAAGGTTCACTAACACATAATGAAGGCTTTTTAGCTTCAACACGAGACATTTTCAAAATAAGATTTTAATTCTGGCCAATGAAACATTAGATCTCATTTTCACTTCAATCTCAAATTCATAGCACTTTTAAAATTTTAAGTGGTACATTTTTATTCTTTACAGCCAGGAATTACTATTTTAAATGTGATATAGTACATACAGTATAACAACTACTTTCATTTAGCTGTTCATCATACACCTTTTAAAATCTAGCGTAAATACTATTGTGAAATGAATATGTAACGGCAGCAGAAGGCTATCTCATTCACGACGATCTTTTTTAATTTCCGAATGCGAGTGAACAGATTTTTTTGCAACTAAGTTTACAAGCGTACTACCAATGTGGACGCCTATAAGCGACAGTCCTGCCACGAGCAGAAAGTTCTTCCTACTCCAGCTAGTTTTCATCTCTTCTTTCTGTAGCATTCACCAATGAAAAGCTTCAATTATACCTACAATAAACATAACATGAAAATATTAGTGTAATCTCACAACAATGTTACTTACATAGCATGAACTGTCATTCTATTTTCCATTAAAAACTCACATATGCACTAACAAATACCAAACTACAGCGCTATTTAATTGAGAAAACCTACCAATGCTATATATAATACAAGCAGCTGGTACACAAATTACGCATTTCTGTCAATTAACATCTTCAGTTCTGACCTCCAGTTTGTATACTGTCTTACCTTTAGGTCTGTAAAGAGCAGGCTGCTATAAACCACAGTGAATTGTATGAAAATGCAAGGTTATAGTGCCACTAAGCTCTTCTTACTGCAGAAAAAAAGAACTGAAATACTCAGCTCCGCTTCCCAGGGAACAACTTTAGAAGCAAAATGTTTCTATCTAATGTTTAGAAACATTAGCTGTTAATGTTCAAACAACTTTTAAAACTCTTTGCCTCTGAAAGAAGGGTTTCTTACCCGAAAAACTTCTAGCATAAATAAATTTAATTTTTTTCAGCTCTCTTTTAAAGACTTCAGAGTTTAAAGGGATATTTTAAATTAAAAAGTATTTAACTATGATGTTAAAAAGTATTTTACATCTTTAACTATGTCTCAACCATCTGCCCTTTTGGTATTCAATAGCTTTCACTACAGATATCCTGTTCCATGTGACTGTCAGGGGTGTGATCATGTTAAGGCAATTGCTTAAAAAAAAATAAAACAGCTGCTTTATTATAGTACCAATCAAAGTGTAATTACATTCCTTTAATATTTCTAAAATCCAGCATTTCAGGATGAATTTCAGAACGAATAAGGAAAGGCGAGTGATGCCATTTTAAAAATAAGGAGCATCCAACAATCTAGCAACACTGATAACTTGCATATTGGAAACACTAAGGAATAAATATAACGCTAATATCTTAATTATCATCATGTATGATGACATACCACGGTAGCACTTTTCAGGCATGAAGTGCAGCATGAGTAGACTGCATGCTAGGATTTCGTAAAATTTCATTCTGACCACTGCTAGTAATGATACAGAAAAATGTTACTGGACAGCAGTAAATGTCTTTGACTGTTTATGCTAGGCACATTACGTTCTGGATGTGTGTGTAAAATGCCATTTAATCAGTACGTTCAAAGAGAGACTTAACGTCCTTAACCCTTAATGGTTAAATATAAATATTGCATAAGCCAAAGAGAAAACTTAAGGGACAACTGCTGGGGCTTAAGGATTTTAATAATTATTAAGTGAGGGAAAAAAACTTGATATCCTACTCAATGACAAGAGCAAAGCTGCAGAAAGGAATAATTTCATGAAATTAATTCTGAACTCATTTGAATTCCTGTAGTCGTTTTAACGTACCCTTCAACAGAGCCAAGAGTTTGCAGCACATACTGGTGCTTATGATTGAAGGTGACTTGTAACTGTTCTCAAAAGTCAAAAAAGCCTTTAACTTTGTACTGAAGATACTTAAACAAAACTACTTATTTCTATTAATACATTTATACATAGTCACTGCAGTATTTAAGCCTCTCTAATACTTAATAGCCTTGCCTTTTCTGAAATAGTAACGGCTATCACTACTATAACAACACAGACTATATTACTATGGGAAGTCACCATTATTTCCGGGTAGTTTTGGTCTGCAACACTGCCCTTACAAGTTGGACTCCTGGAACTGACTTGAACTTGACTTGGTAAGTCATGAGGTTTTCTGTTTGTTTTTAAAAAACTTTATGACATAGAATGACAAAACTTAATTGCTCCTATCACACAGGATTTAGCAGTAATTTTTGAGAAGATGGATGATGTATTTTTAGGTCTATACAACTACCAGGTTAACTAAGTTTCAGAAAAGAATACATGTCTCAGACTACGACCAGAGCAGCAGGACTGCATCTGTCAGAAAATTCTGATTTCACAGACTCATCTATTTTCTCAAAGACAAAGATGCAACTAATTAGGAAACTTACCCATAATACACAGCATTACTGCTATTTTTCTTTATTTTTGTGTTCATTTCGCAGCACGTATGCCACAATCCCAGGTTCTGGAACAAAGTCCTCCTCTGTCTTCACTTGGAAAATAGGACTGGACTTGATGTGAAACCACCCCCAGTGTACCAGCCCAAGGCTAGTTCCCATAACAATCAGAACTTTGTAGTCCTTCCAGAAGGTTTTAAGACCCATTGTAAACTCGCATCTACCTAGGTAAAGATAATTTATTATTTTAAAAATATCCTAAAAATCCTTTGTTCCTCTACTGTACTAGCACAGAACAGATAAACCTGAATATCAGTATCATTACAGTGCAACAAAAAATTAAAAAGCAAAGTGACACAATAAAGCCTTACTTTGTGAACTTTAAAAAAAAGGAGGCTTTAAAAATAACAGTTCAGACATCTTGAAATGCTAATTGCTATATTTGCTTCAAACTTCAGAGCGCTAAATCTTAAAGCTTTGTTAAGTACTTTGTTATGTCTAACTACTAACGTTAGTGCTTCAGATGGCAAATATTTGAAGACTAAGTCTAAACATAAAGTAGTTTTAAACTACCCCAATTTGTCCATAGTTAAGAGAAACAGATGACTAACAGAGCACATAATATGGAAGTCCTAACTCGTACGTCAAACAACTTATTGTACTTCTGACATCGCTTTTTGTAGGCACTTATGCCTAACTACCATATCTCTTTATCCTTGCTTTTTAGAAGTTACTACTGTATCAGTACAAAAAAAATAATAAATTCATCCGCATGTAAAAAGTAGCAACACGCAAGATCCTACTTTCCATACGTTTTCGTTAGGAAGTACCTACTATTATGGGGGGGGTGGGGGAAGCATATGCTCAAATTTTGTATCAAAATAACCCCTTCCCTTAACAGCCACAAAGATGCAAGCCGCAGAGCGGATGCTCTTAACCAGTTTGAATCCCTTCACTTCCTCACAGGGGCAGCGTGCGCTACCGGCTCGGTCTCCATCACGCTACGGGGACTTCACTCCTTTACCGCACCGCTCCAGGCGCAGGACAGAGGCGGCCTTCACAACTACGCGCTCCTGCGGTAAGTGCGACCAGCAGGGTGCCGGCTCCGGAGGGTGGTGTGTGTGTGTGTGTGGGGGGGTGTTTTATGATTCTATGGTTTTATTTGTGTACTTTCTACTGTTTGTACTTCATTTCCAAAATAACATGACTCAGTAGATGGGAGCCTTGAGACCTGGTGAATATTCCTAGCTCCATTACTGACTTGTTGCAGTAAATGACCAGGCCTCTTAACCTCCCTGTACCTCAAATATCCCATTTGTGAAATGGGGCGGGCTTATCCTTTCACCTCCATAAAGTGCTGTGGGACTTAAAGGATTATACTATCACTACATTCAGCCCAAAGCTAGCAGCTCAAAACAATCAGTCCTGATGCTGGTGGTCACAACAGAAACTGTGAGGACAGTCTATATCCAGTGCTCAGCTACAGGCTATAGGCTATGAAAAAACCAAGCTGTTTAAATATCTTCTGTAGTTTCCCTGTCCACCCAAGAAAGAAAGAGAAAAAAAGCACTTCAAAGGACTGGTCTCCTTGCCCAGAGCACTGAGATCTGAAAGAACGTTGTTCAACATGGCTACAGTTCCCAAACTAGAGAGAGATCAAAACTACAGCTTCAGTAGCTCTTCCCTACAATAAAGCTAATCACATTAGCCACTTCACAAGAATAAATCTTTCATTTGCATTTCACTTTGATTTTCCCTTTTCATTTTTTCCTTTAATGGGTAATGGTTTGCATACAATTTTTAGGTACAAGGAGTACAAGTCTGTTGCAGAAGGCATTTCTGGGACTAGGCTACAAGGTGGAGGACCGTGAAAAGCAGGGTAGGCTTAAAACTTGACCCAGCATTTTATTAATCTACTTACAGGTGTATTTCAGCTTCTACTGAAAGAGGGGCTTGGAGAGGCTTAATTTCTCTTTTTTGGGAGGGAGCTTCCCTCCTCATCAGAGGGAAATTAAAAAAAAAAAAAAAGTTAGCAGGCAACTACGTCATTTTTCCACATTTGTTTCACAAGTGCAGAGAAGGAAGAAGTTTGGTCTGTCCCCCCCCAAACAAAATAGCAACAAGAAACCCAGAGCCTTCCATGCCAGTTAACTGGCCTCTTCTCAGAATTACTCTATCCTCCACTCTTATTGTGTTCTCCACCTTTTCTTTACTCGCTCATTTCTCCTCTTTCCTTCCACTCCTGGAGTCACTGTCAGGAATATCTTCTGTCATGTTCATGTGTCATTGCATGATCTTATTTCCTGCAAGGGGAAAAAATTGATCTTTTTTTTTTTGTCCTGAAGCACTTTTTTGTGAAAAACTGTCAGCTGTGACTCTGTGAGCCACACGTGGGTGTTCTTCAACAAGAGGCAGGTAAAGCTTATGCATTTTGTGTATGGTTGCAAAGTTTACAACCAAAAGATTACATGTTTTTAATGTATAATCTCTATGCAGAAAGGAGTATAACAAAATTTTCTGTTTCTTGGAATGGTTGGGATTTAACATTCTATAATATAAAAACAAAATAACCAGCAACTATCTGCAAGGGGCACGTTGTTTCTCAGAGTTTCTAATTTCTGTAGTTCTCTGCAGTTGCATGGTGAAAGCATAATATTTTTGCTCTTATATTGTTGAACTTTAGAGATGAATTAGGAGTTTATCAATGAAGGAGTTTAGATAACAATGAGGTAAAAATATGCAAACCTGTTGGAATAGTAGCTTTCAAAGGTTAAGTGGACAAATTGGGAAGAGTGGGCCTGAAGAATCACAATAGAAGAAAGCTTGAAAAGTCTGATGTGTCCTTCCAGAACTAGAAACAGTTTATCAAATATGAGTATTGCTGAGTGTTACACTTTACTAAATACTGATGTTCCCTTGATCAGAAGAAGAGAACTTTAGTGCGTGCAGTAGGAACTGGATGAAGGAATGGATTCAGAACTTAATGTACCTGGGGGTCTTGACTTATGAAATTCTGGCGTGCTATAAAATGATAAGATAGGGGGTGGGGGAAGGGATTAGAATTAAAACCCAGAAAAGATCCTGTATGTAAGAGCCATATCCCAAATTTTCCATATTATTGCTAGGTAAATATTTTCCTCTCTAAACCATTGAGTGAGATTTTCTTTTTACCTTTTCCCTGTAAATCTCATGCCTCTTTCTGCATGTTGGCTGAGCTTCAAGAGGAGAAATGGAGAATGTCTGCCCCAACCTAACTTAAATCTCTACCCTTAAGAAAAGGATTTCGAGATACTGCGTTTCCTGCATGAGAGCTGTAATTATGCTAAAAGAACATTCACAGATATTTGGCTTCCATAAATAACTCTGGGCCCTGAATCAAGAGTGGAGAGGGTTTAACTCAAATATCTAAGGTCTGGAGAGTTCATAAAAAATCTGTTTAACGTTTGCCTAATTTTTACTCTCTTAGAAAAATTGTTAATAATGGCTTGTTTTAGTGAGTTCCTCAATTAGCATTTGAGTTTTCAGTTTTGCCTTTTCCAGGTGCCTGGTTCTCCTTTTACATAAAGACACCCAAAAATGGGCAGAATGTGAAAAGTTTGCAGCAGTGCTACCAAAGTATTAGAAGTTGGCTTTTGTGTGGCTGGCGTTTTCAGTTCCTGATTCCCAGTGAGTTCCAAATTCCCTCAGCGCTGGAAGCAGCTTCTTTGCAAAGGTAAGATACTGTTCACAAGCTGATTTAAGCGAATAAAAAAAAAGAAAATAAAAACACCTTAGCTCTCTGAGAGGCCATATCTCCTGCCTTCTACTGAGTTTCCACCATTCCACTTAACCTCAAATTTAGGAAAGAAAGACTGCATCATTTTTGAAACATGTCTGACTCTTGCTAAAGGGAACCTAGGTGTTTAATCCTAGATTTTGCTTTCTTGTATAGGTTGGCCATCAGAAATTTGAGTGTTGAAATACCAGGTCTAGACTTCTTTTTTACTTTTTTTTTTTTTTTAATATGACTAATTTCTGAGAGGAGTTTTTCTAGTGTATTTGCTTATTTCCACATTTCCTTATGCCCAAATTACTTTTCAGGCTTAGATTAGTTTGTGACAGATACGGTATTCTAGGAAACAGATTTTTGTCACCAAACAGTAGCAGCTGTAGTAGTTCGCTACCTTTCATGTTTTTTGCAACATAGAAAATATCAAAGCTAAGTTTTCCATGGGTTGCCGGCTTCTTTTCTTGTAAAAGTGATAGGTAGTTTTCTCATTCCCTGTTGTTATTAGGTTTCTTTTTGATCTCTGAGTTTCTGATCTTTTTTCATCTCTGACAGATCTGTGATTTTCCTGATGGACACATTAGGCATATTCTTTTTGTTGTTTTACAGATTGGTTTACAGCTTTTATGTCTTCTATATTTCCTTTGTCTCCTGTGTACTGCCAGTGAAGAAGATGATGTAGTCAGAAAATTGGCTTACTCGCATGCAGTGGAAATTGAATCAAGGACAATTTTCCTTGCACATCTTTTTGTCTTCCGTAGTTTTGTAAACCGGATTTGGAGAGTAATTTTTGTCTGCCAAAGCTCCTTTTTCACTGCAGTAGCATATTTGTTGCAATAGTAGTGTTCTGGGTGGCAAAGTTAGGCTAAGAAAGTCTTGTGATGCCAGAATAATATCAGCTGGTTCATCCCCATGTCTTGTTTGTTTTCAAGAGGGACATGAGCGTATGGTGGGGAGGTAATGTTCTGGTATGTTTTTTTGCAACTCTTATTTGTATCATCGCTACTGTAAGAATTAGTGATAAAACATTAACAGTCCAAATATTGTCCTTGAGTTCACAAGCCTGCAGCAACCTTGTGAGTCATGTGCCGCGTGCTTCCAGGAACATAGGAGCTTGCCTATGCTCCTATGTATGTCATTTTCTGAGCTGGATATGGTAAACTACCTTGCATGCTATCATTCTGAGCTTTTGCTAACCATATTCCAAGGTAGAGGTCATTCAGTGTAAATATTTTAAAAGTTTATTTAATATCGCTGGTGCTGTTGCAGGAGCTCTTAGTTGATGGTATACTCCACAGCAAATTAAGATTTGGTTGTTATTTCTCTGCCACTGTTTTTCCTATTTTTCCTTTTTTTTCTTTTTGGTTCAGGGGGAAAGCTAGGGATTATTATTAAAGCTCTGATACTAAACTTTTATTAAAATAAAATAAAAAACACAAGCTCTGAAATGTCGCTGTTAATTTGGAAGCAAGTTTTTTTTTTTTTTTTTTAAGAGAATCTGAAGAGTCATAGTTACCCAGGTTTTGTAGTATTTTGACAGATGTTTTATGTATTTTATTTGATTTTCACTTTCGCATGATGCACCTTCCGTGGAGTTCTTGAATGCTAGTAATATGATGTTGTGCACCATATAAGAAGCTGAAGAGTTCAGTTGGTTTTCACTTTGCTGGCTGCCATTTTGTTTTAGCTTCTATTGCAACCTAGTTCTAGCGACTGCTATTTCAAGCATTACTAGGTTTTTATTTTCTACTAAGATTCTTACAGTAGTTCTACTAGGTTTACTTCTACTTCCACTTTACTACCAGTGTGAACTGAAACAGAGCAAATGATGTGATATTCCAAGTGGTCCAGAGCACCGTTCCCTACTTTGTTTTTCTGGAAATTGTTGTCAATAAAGTTGACAGAGTTTACTCAAATAACAAAGTTTCTAGGACTATTTTGTGTGAGGGAGAATGCTAGTTTATGTGGCAGAAAGCATGGCATGGCATCCCACCTTCTGTGTGTGTTGCTCTTATTTGAAAACTTGATTTACTTTGTATTACTCTCTGCTTACTCTTACTGTGTAGCTGATGTGGTACAATAGATGTGAATCCTCTGTTTCTAAGCTTTTCAGAGCATAGTGGAAGCATTAATTTTTATTATATTAAATTTCATTTTCAGTAGTTACTTGTAGAATAACTCAGTTCAAAATCATTTGTATCTGGTTACAGTAATATACTTTGTTACATAAAAGAGACAGATAAGAAGCTAGTTTACTTCTCACTGTGATCTTTTTACTATTTCTGTTTCTTACTGCTTGGATATTGACGTTATATATAGGCAAATCATTGAAATCGTTGGGAGTTTTCTCTGAGCCAGGATGTGGGATTGTGGTCTTGCTGCTTTCACGTTTTCATGTAGTTGTTTTCAGATGTCATGTCTCAACACTTAGGTGTTTAGGATGGGAAAAACTGCACACAAGTAATTGTTTAGTTCAAAACTATTGCTGTTCAGTTTTCAGATCAAAATTATCTCTGCTATGCTATGCAGTTCTTCAGTGGTTCTTTATCCTGTTTCACAATTTTTTGAAGTTAAATAGGGATAATGACTGCATTTTGAAATATTTAAGTGTAGTTCGTGGCAGAGACCTTGCTGACCTGACTTATATTCTGAATTTTTGACATCTCTGTCAGAGTGATTTGCAGTAACTTGACGTATGCAGTGACAAACTGGAATGTGTTTCTCCATTTATATTCTTTTCCTGTACTATCTCTTACCAAATTGTCCCGACTTCTCTAGCTTATTAAGAAACTAATTCTTTAGAAGGCTTTAGAACATAAAAGGCAACTTTGTTGTCTGTGTGCTTTCTGTTGCAGTTCATATATCACAGGCAGCAGCTACAAGAGCTTGCCTGCTTCCTTGGTTTTGAAGCTTGAGCTGTGTGTTTGGGTACTCGTTCTTCTGCCAGCGTACTGAGACCCTTGTTCACCTGATTTTCTCTCCAGTCTAGGTCCCTTCCTTGTCTGTTGCCTTTGGTCCCATACTGTGTGAAAACAGTATACATCTTAACCTTTTATTCCCTATTTTTCAAAGGTATAAAAATGGTGCCATCAGCCCATTCCATGTCTCTTCTGAATCCTAACTCTTTGGCGTTAGCTGGAAAATTTTTTACCTATTCTTCCCGCTCAGCAACTGTATTATGTTTTGACAAATGAATATTTAGCTCCCATTAATGTGGAGAGAGATGATCTTCCCCTAATAGTTTCAGTGCTGTGTCCCTAACTGCGTTGTAAGTTGGGAAAAAGGCAATTAAAAAACTGAAATCTGTTTAGAAGGTGACTAGAGCTGTGATTTGAATTGCAAGCCTACTTAAAACCTGTGGACATTTGAGGGAGGCTATTGTTCATCTAAAAAAGTTCTTAGTGATTAACAATATTGATAAAATCTGTAAATCTAACTGTCCCCTGGAGAGTAGAACAGATTTCAAGATCCAGGAATTATGTTAATTGTGGAGTCTCTTAATAGTAGGAGTTTCTGGAACTTTTCTCTCATACCCAGTGAAGGGCATGTTTAGCTTTCAGGGTGAATGGATTCTTCCTAAGCTAACTGGAGTGGTCTGAGGCAGGGCCAGGATCTGTGCAGCTGGGTACCCCTTAGTCAGTAACTCAAATTAAGCAATCTAAACACTGGAATAAGAAGGAGAAGCGGATGTCTGAAATTTGTTTTCTTTTTGTACAGAGAAAAGAATGCTTGGGTCACTTTTCTGTTATATGTATAATAGTATAAAATTTAAATAAATAAATATACTAGGTAGATCTTCTGTCAAAAAGCTGACCGGAAACAATAGTTTCAAAAGAAAAAAAACCCTCTGCTTTGTTTTTGAACTTGTTCAAACTCTGATGCAGCTGGTTATCAGAACTGCAAGTAGGGAATGGGTTTCTTAATTCTGAAATTAGCAACATCAAGCAGCAGTAAGCAAAGTTCCTGTTAAGAGAGCATGATGGAGGAAGTTATTTCTATAGGGCCGGTGAGGTGCATGCAATAGGACATAGACAGGCTGCTTGTAGGCTCCCGAGATTAATAAGGATGGAGTTTCCATGAGGTAGGAGGGACTGAGCTTCACTGAGAATGAAAGGTTTGAGGACTCTGTTGAACAGAGCAAGTATTATTTCATATGCTAATTTTTTTTTTTAAACAAGTAGCTCCAGGATTTTTATTTTTCCATCTCTGTGTGTATGTGTTTTTCTTTCCCTCTTTTCTTCCTTATTCTTTTTTTCTTTGAGCTATGCAAAGGAATTTTAACTGAAAGCTATTACTTTGAAAGAGAAACCAGGCTGGAACCATACAGATAGGGGCCAGAGAATGAGACAGTAGTTAGGGTAATTTTCCAAGTTCAGTTTGCTGCTCTCCCAAAGGCTTCTTGTGGGTGAGTAAGGTTAGTTTGTCTGTGTCTCGGTACTGGTGTGAAAAATAGTTCTGTATTCTTTTTCAGGTGTTGGATGCTCTGTACCTGAATGGTAATGAAGCTCATTAAAAGAAAACAAGATAGGTCGCTATGCAATTCTCTTTATGTAAGAGTTTTCCTTGGCAGAGTATAAGGTGTGAAAAGCAGCAGTACTCACAAAATCAACTAGTTTTTTTTTAGTATTGACAAGATGAAAAATATCCTTGTCGCTTGGCATAGAGATCTGAGTTCTTTCTTGTGCTGATCATTTTTAATTGATATTTTTATAGGACCAGTTTACATTGAACTATCATGGCATCTAGCAAATTTGTCATTAAGGTAAGTAGAATTTTGTAACTTTCATTTAAAAAAAAAATCCTGATAATAATACTAAGTAGAGTATTTATACATGGATTTTAAAAGTTAATGAAGACGAGATGCATCCTTTAGACTTCTGGTCATGGTAGCATAATTCATTTCAGTTTTCCTCTCTCTTGGGAAGCAAACTCTTTCAAGCACTGCTATATCATGGCAGAGTGTGTTTGGGGTCCTTTCAGCTGAAGATTAAATAGTCACAAGTACCTAATAGTGATTAGTTTTATAGTTAGAACTAGTAACTGCATGAATTCTCAATAAAACAGCATTACCTACCTGAACTGAAATTTAGTGTTGATTCTTCTCATACTGTAATTTTGCGGTTATTCATCTTTTCCCCAGATAATCCAAGAGTTCCTGATTTAAAGGGTAATAATATTCTTAAACTCTTTATCACTCTTGACTCTTCATTTGCATCTTAGTTCATCTTTTTCCCCATTTTCAGGCATTAGACATCTTACTAACATCCAGTAACGTGCTTTTGCAGTTTATTTTGCAAACAGTCTCTAACATTTGGGTATATATCTGAAGAGTAATGCTTTTCAAAACATTCTGTAATAAACATTCTGCCTTAACTTGTTCAGCTCACTAGTAACTAAACCACAGAGCAAGTTTTCCTGTAAAAATTGTGCAACCTTCTCTTTTGGACCCTCTTTTCTGTTTCTGTTTATCTGTTTGGGGTAGTGCAATGCCTGCATTTCTAGGTGATTAGAGCAATACAGTACTCTTGGAAATGGTTTTCCCAAGAATTTTCTTCACAGAAGAGACTGTAGAATCACAGAATGGCCAAGGTTGGAAGGGACCTCTGGAGATATCTAGTCCAACCCCCCTGCTCAAGCAGGAACACCTAGAGCACATTGCACAGGATTGCATCCAGGCGGGTTTTGAATATCTGCAGGGAAGGTGACAACCTCCCTGGGCAACCTGTTCCAGTGCTCTGTCACCCTCACAGTGAAGAAGTTTTTCCTCATGTTCAGACGGAACTGCCTGTGTTTGTTTGTGCCTGTTGCTTTTCATCCTATTGCTGGGCACCACGGAGGAGAGACTGGCCCCATCCTCTTGACACCCTCCCTTCAGATACTTGTACACATTTATGAGATCCCCCTCAGTCTTCTCTTCTGCAGGCTGAACAGGCCCAGCTCCCTCACCCTTTCCTTCAGAGGAGAGATGCTCCAGTCCCCTCAGCATCTTTGTAGCCCTCCGCTGGACTCTCTCCAGGAGTGCCATGTCTCTTGTAGTGGGGAGCCCAGAACTGGACACAGTACTCCAGGTGAGGCCTCACCAGGGCTGAATAGAGGGGCAGGATCACCTCCCTCGACCTGCTGGCAACACTCTGCCTAATGCACCCTAGGATCCCATTGGCCTTCTTGGCCACAAGGGCACACTGCTGGCTCATGTTTAACTTGTTGTCCACCAGCACTCCCAGGTCCTTCTCGGCAGAGCTACTTTCCAACAGGTCAGTCCCCAGCCTGTACTGGTGCATGGGATTATTCCTGCCTAGGTGCAGGACCTTGCACTTGCCTTTGTTGAACTTCATGAGGTTCCTCTCCGCCCACCTCTCCAGCCTGTCCAGGTCCCTCTGAATGGCAGCACAGTCTTCTGGTGTGTTAGCCTCTCCCCCCAGTTTAGTATCATCAGCCAACTTGCTGAGGGTGCACTCTGTCCCTTCCTCCAGGTCATTGATGAATATATTGAACAAGACTGGGCCCAGGACTGACCCCTGGGGGACACCACTAGCCACAGGCCTCCAACTTGACTCTGCGCCATTCACCACAACCCTCTGAGCTCGGCCATCCAGCCAGTTCTCAAGCCACCTCACCGTCCACTCATCTAGCCCACACTTCCTGAGCTTACCTAGGAGGATGTGATGGGAGACAGTGTCAAAAGCCTTGCTGAAGTCCAGAAAGACAACATCCACTGCTCTGCCCTCATCTACCCAGCCAGTCATTCTGTCATAGAAGGCTATCAGATTGGTCAAGCATGATTTCCCTTTGGTGAATCCATGCTGACTACTCCTGATCACCTTCTTGTCCTCCAGATGCTTAGTGATGACCTCCAGGATGAGCTGTTCCATCACCTTTCCCGGGATGGAGGTGAGGCTGACAGGCCTGTAGTTTCCTGGCTCCTCCTTCTTGCCCTTTTTGAAGACTGGCGTGACATTGGCTTTCTTCCAGTCCTCAGGCACCTCTCCTGATCTCCAGGACCTTTCAAAGATGATGGAGAGAGGCCTAGCGATAACATCCGCCAGCTCCCTCAGCACTCGTGGGTGCATCCCATCGGGGCCCATGGATTTGTGGATGTCAAGTTTGGACAAAAGATCTCTAACCCGATCCTCCTCAACCAAGGGAGAGTCTTCCTTTCTCCAGCCTTCCTCTCTTGTCTCCAAGGTCTGGAATTCCTCAGGACTGGCCTTAGCAGTGAAGACAGAAGCAAAGAAGGCATTCAATAACTCTGCCTTCTCTGTATCCTTTGTCACCAGGGCACCCGCCCCTTTCAGCAGCGGGCCCACGTTTTCCCTAGTCTTCCTTTTGCTATTGATGTATTTGAAGAAGGCCTTCTTGTTGTCCTTGACATCCCTTGCCAGATTTAATTCCAACTGGGCCTTAGCCTTCCTTGTCGCATCCCTGCACACTCTGACAACGTCCCTGTATTCCTCCCAAGTGGCCTGTCCCCTTTTCCACATTCTGTACACTTCCTTCTTCTGCTGGAGTTTGGCCAGGAGTTCCTTGCTCATCCATGCAGGTCTCCTGCCCGCTTTGCTGAACTTCTTCCTCAGAGGGATGCACTGATCCTGAGCCTGGAGGAAGTGACGCTTGAATATTAACCAGCTCTCTTGGACCCCTCTTCCTTCTAGGGCCCTACCCCAGGAGATTCCCCTAAGTAGGTCCCCGAAGAGGCCAAAGTCAGCTCTCCTGAAGTCCAGCGTTGCAATCCTACTCATTGCCCTGCTCCCTCCTCGCAGGATCCTGAACTCCACCATCTCATGGTCACTGCAGCCAAGGCTGCCCCCAACCTTCACCTCTCCAACTAGACCTTCTTTGTTCGTTGGTACAAGGTCTAGCATTGCACCTCTCCTCGTTGGCGTCTCCACCACCTGAGTCAAGAAATTATCATCAATCCTCTGCAGGAACCTCCTCGACTGTTTGTGCCTAGCTGTGCTGTCTTGCCAACAGATGTCAGGGTGGTGAAGTCTCCCATGAGAACCAGGGCCTGTGATCGTGAGGCTACTTCCAGCTGTCGGTAGAAGGCCTCATCGATGACTTCCTCCTGGTCAGGTGGCCTGTAGTAGACCCCCACAACAGTGTCACCCATGTTACCTTGCCCTTTAATACTTACCCATAGGCTCTCAACTTGCTCTTCATCCACCCCGAGGCAGAGCTCCATACATTCTAGTTGCTCCCTCACATAAAGAGCAACTCCACCACCTCGCCTTCCTGGCCTGTCTTTCCTAAAAAGCACATAGCCATCCATGACAGCATCCCAGTCATGTGAGCTATCCCACCATGTCTCTGTAACTGCAATGAGATCGTGGCCCTGTGACCGCACACAGATCTCTAACTCTTCCTGTTTATTCCCCATGCTGCACGCATTGGTATACAGGCATTTCAGAGAGGCAATCGAGCATGCAGGCTTCTCAGGAGAGGAGCAAGAGGATCCTCCACAGCCATGTCCCGTACTCATTCCCCTGGCTGCAGGCATCTGCTGGAGGCCTCCTGACTTGAGCATTGTTTTACTGACTATCCTGTCAGTAAAACAGGTACAGATAGGTGCCTCTGTCACCTGCAGTAGGGAGTCACCCATAACAATTACTCAACACTTCTTGCTTCTTTCGGGTGTTCCTGCATGGCACAGGGATCCGGGGATCCGTCAGGCCAGCTGCATCTCTTGAAGCCATGCCCAGCTCCTCCTCAGCCTGGAGGGTGCTAAACCTGTTCCTCAAAGGCAAGCCTTCAGGAGAAGCAAGAGCCTTTCTCCTTCTATGAGAAGTTAGCCGTTTCCAGCCTTCTTCAACAGTGTTATGATGTACTGTAAACTGATGTAGACTACTTTTCCTTTGTGGATAAGCTTTTGTTTTTGTTCTTGTTTTTGTTTTTCTGGAGGCCAGGTGCAAAAGTTTTCCTGGCTGATCAAGCTGTGGAAACTTGGTTTTTGCAGGTAACTAACCTGTTCAAAAAGCAGACCAAACAGTCAGTTCTCTGTGGTATGGAGTAAATTCTGTGTTCTTTGCAGGGAAAACTACTCATTTAGTGGGACATTTGTGCAAATCTTTCTCTCTTACTGTTTGACTTGATTGTAAACCTTAAATTGGTGGTATCATGTCTAATTCTCAGAGATTTCCTTGTCTGAGATACTAATCACTGATCCTCATCTGATATAAGAGGAAGTTAGAAGGGATAAATTTGATTTTGAGCACACTTTGGGTGACGTTCTGACTCTGTATTCTATTACTGTATTGATAGGGTAACAGAATCTGAGGGTGAAGCCATTATCTTTCTCATCTGAGATCTCTTGATATCATCAACATGAATTCAGGTGCGAAAGAGAGCAAGTGGTGTGAGCTGAAACGTCTTTGCTAGATTAAAGTGTCCAAAAATCTTTGATTACTGATCTATGTTATTGTTAGTTTGCTAATACAGTGTAGACGCTTTACCTTTACTCAGTATGTACTCAGGCAATTGCTAAGTAGTTTGACATTACCATCCCAGCAAATGGGGAGTTTCTCACTGAGCTTGTATTTGCAGCTAACCAATGTCATAGATAGAACCTCTAAGAGTGTCAGTGAGCTGCGACAATTTTATTTTCCTCCTGGTAGCATTTGAAAAATGAGGGCAATTTTTTGCATATACAGAATGCTGAAAATTAGCTCATATTGAGTTTACATATTTCATATCCTCTATTCAAGGCAAATATGTGGAAAAAATATATTTTTTGCTTTTTTATATTCACTCGATTTATATTTAATGTGACTATTCCCTTTTTAAAGACTGTTCAACTTTCACATTTTTCAAGGAACGTTCCTCTGCAGAAGGCTCCCCATTAAAGAGCAGAAAATATTCTCAATCCTCTCTACAGGGAGCATATAAAAGATACTATGTTCTTACTTTTAGGTTCCTCATCTGTTTAAAATTGATAGGGGTATTTTACTGGTTTTGAAAAATGTTTCATGCATGTGTCATCTTCTGCACTCTCCTTTTAAGTTTCTATCTTTGGAAATATGTATATTAATATATATTAATATATATATTAACATACATATATAATATGTATGTTAATCTTTTAGGTAAGATCTTGAAAAGTATAGCTTATCCATCTCTTATATCCTAGCAGACTCGAAGATAATTTAATAGAAAAACACCTATAATGTGTTT